GTGATTTGGATCACGTGATAACAAGCTACGTGCCGCTAAAGTTAACTTCGCCACAATACCCACATTCACCTTATATATATTTTTTTTAATCTTAAGGTAACCACTCACAGGTTTGGCATGGTTTATTAAACTTTTGGTTTGATACCAGCATAGTCACATAGACAGTGCCTGATCTTGTTATATTAACAAGAGTACATTCTAGCTATATTTGCACCTTTTGAGTGCCTATTTAAGTAGTCTACCTATCTTAGATCTACACTAGATGGCATACCTGTAACCCAACTATGAGATTACCTTTTGTATGATATTTAAAAGAACTTCAACTATTAAACCATATAATATATAAACTCTTACAAATTTGAAGAGGCCTTGTGAACATTGGATGGCAAAATGAAAAAGCTACAAAAAGAAGGGTTAGGTGAAACAGATCAGTTAGTAGCACTTACTGTGGATGAAACCTTTTACAACTTAGATCATGTTTTTATTTCTAAAAATGATAATGAAAGCTTAGTTCAGTATGTGTTTTTTTAGCTTAAATTATTTTGCAGTTTGCGAGATGGTAATACAGCTAAATTAAAAGTAAATGATATATTCCATCAACCTAATGGTAGATTATCTCTTATTCTTATATATGAAAAAAACAATCAGCAAGGTGCTTTAAACATAATAGATATAGAAAATCTTCTGTAAAAAAATTACCAATCCCTTCTAACAATCCAAACAATCGATTTAAACCAGTTTATAATATTTTAAAAATGATTTTCTTTATCCTCTTAATGCTGACAATGTACTATTCTTGAAAATTAGTAGAGCTAAAAAGGTATGTATGTATATACTTATGTATATATATATATTAATGTTAATGCATTTTAATATATAAATATAAGTTAAATTACTAATACTACCTTATTTTTGATATATTTAATAAGATTTACAAAAAGAGGTTGGGTTTTAAACTAGTCCTATGAGCAAAAAAAATTGGAAAATATAATGTTACATATTGCAGATCTTACTAAAATCAATTTAGATAATAGACACAGAATTACTAATCTTTTATTATATTGAACTGCAATTCAAAGACTTAAAATTTAAATGTTCCCAAAGATGAGAGAATAGAATTTTCTGAGTACAAAAGCCATGAAGAAATAAAAGCCTATAATCATTCAAAGGACAATCGAAAATTCAAAATATAGCTTTGCTAATTCTACTTAATTGTGCCTCCAGTACAGATAAGGGTAGTAATTTTATTTATTATCTGTACTGTAGGTTAAATATCATGATTTAAGTTATTTTTCAGTTACATTAAAAGATTTATAATAGGATAAGGCCATGTTAGAAGTGGCTATATTATTGAAGCACATCACTATTAAATAGCATTTAGATGCTAGGAGAGTAACTTAAAAGGTATAAGTTTCATCTTCTTTGTATTGTATCTATACTGGCAAAGAATCAAAGCAATAAATATCACTAAGTGTGTGGTTATATGGCATTTCTCAATGAAGTTGCCCAACAGAATCTTGCAATTCAATTAGTTCAAATAGCAATACTTTCCTTAGAGATCTAAAATTTGTCATAGAAGGTAGAGTCTGTAACAATAGTGAATAGAATTTTTTATGTTTTTAATAGTGTTTTAATAAAGTTATTTTCATCTAATTAAGCAATAGTAATTGCATTCTTGATAGATTGAATATTAGATTGAGATCTAGATTTGAGATAATGTAATGAATTAAAATTTTTTTTTCCTTTATTGACAGCTTTGCCAGTATCTTTATAAGATCAAAGTTAATATAAAGTTACATTATAAACTATCTAAGTTATAGATCTGATATTACTTGGCTTCCTCTATGGGCACCCAAATGCGGTCTGCCTCACCAGTTAAGGCTATTGTCTGTACTGGAGGGCTGCACCAAGCTAGTGTTCCAAATCGTTAGTTGAAAAACCAACTAGTTGACAACTTTACAACTAATCGAATTGAAAAAAATTTAAACAACTAATCGATTTATCATCAACTGGTTCGATTACGATTAATTGTTAGTTATCAAATAGTTGTCAACTAAATCGATTTATATTTATCAACTAAACAACTATCTTATTAATCGTGACGTAC